AAGACATGCGCATGTCCAACTGGACTGAACTCAACTGAACGACTTATGCCTGACCACCAACCGGAAAACCCAACAATCGAGACTCTTATCAGCTTTAATCTGCTGTATAGTGGAGTCGACGCAGTGGCTGGCTTGACTCAACTAACAGATGCCCACACATTAACGTGTGACCGCTGCAAATGAGGGGGAGCCTGAATTCGGTAGTGCTGCGCATATTCACCTCCTCATCTTCCAAAACTTTGTCTAGCCGCGCCCAGCGCTGACTCATCCTCTTACCTCTGCGCGTCCTTGTACTATCGTGCGATTCCTCGCGATCTCTGATGCCAACACCTGCACACTTTCCTGATTGGCTGATGACCGGACAAGGTTTCGCTAAACCGGCGCGCATAGAGACTTTTACATCGACTTGAGTGGTTTCTGTACGCGGTGCTTGCAGCAGCTACTATAAAGCCTCTTGAGCCATAAAATTGTCTGAATTCATTCCGTCTTCGCAGACTTGTGATTTGGGGATCCTTTTGGTGTCGAAACAGCAACTAGCCCTCGATAGGAGAAACGAGTTTGGCGAAGTTAAGACCTGCGTCAGAATTGCTCTAAAGTAAACCACACACACTGGTGTTGCGGCTGCCTTTTGCCATCGTCCATATTGCACGACAAAATCAGACAAAAATAGATGCGAGCCTAATAATGATGAGTCTGAACAGTCCTTATAGTTCTATCCCATGCGACCTGCCACATGATTTTGCACATACTGATCGGCAGGGATTCATACAGGATTCCTTGCAATTTAGGCCTAACTTATGCGTAGAACCCGTTGTTCTATCAGTTCAAATCTTTTTAAACCCAAAATATCTAGGTGTATTTGTGGTTTCAAAGCAAATTAGATTACTTGGTTAAGCGTCTGATTTGAATTACGCCCGGAGTAGCAGTATATTCTCTTTAATAAATGGCCGTTTATAGCTCAGATCAAGCAAACGCAGCGGCTAATGTGGTATAAAACCACAATAAGAAGGAGCCAATGCAGCCGGGTCTAACTGTGAGATCTGAGTTATCAAGTTATACACTTACCTTCAAAGCCACGACTTTTAGTGCACCAGGATATATTTAAGCACTTGGAATGTTTCATAGTAACGGATATATACTGAGACAGTCGGCCTTACTGTCCTTTCTTGTTTCCAAGCCTCAGCCCACTTTCCACACGGGTAAGTTGTGAGATTTGGGGAATAGGCGCAAGGACTAGCAGAGCTGGGTGGCTCGTCTGGGCAGGCCGCATACACCACCTGGCTCTCAAATGCATAACATACCAGGACTTCATACCTGAGGTTGACGAAAAGTTAAACCCTTAAAACTTC